TTACTCCTCATGTAGGATCTTTGTCCTTAGTGTGCTGTACATTGAGATTTAATGCTATAACTAGTACTCAAACAGTATTTTTCACTTTATGTTTGTGTGTGGGAGCAAACTGTTGAAATCTTAATGTATGCTAAACTGATCTTCTGTATATAAAGAGAATCGAAAATGAATCTTGATGTGAATGGAAGGGGAGAGGGAGTGGATAAGGGGAGGTTTGTGGGTTGGAGGGACGTTATGAGGGGGAAGCCATTGTAATCCATAAGCTGTACTTTGGAAATTTATATTCATTAAATAAAAGTTAAAAAAAAAGGATTAAGAGATGAAAGGATCACATAAACAAGACTAGTGTCTGCTAATACTAACTGATATAATTAAAAAGGAGACAATGATCCAACATGGGAAGTGGGATACATAGCAGACTCATAATATGGCAAATGCCCTAAACAGCACTCTGGCCTCAGAATCAGCCCTTAAGGCATTTGGATCCAGCTAAAAAGCCCATGAGAGTATTTCAGGCATGGAAAGCCAACACACTCTGGCAAAAAATGACCTAAATGAAAGATCTCTGTGAGTGAGATCCCAGCAGAAAGAATGGGCCATCAAAGAAGGAGGTACCCTTCTCTGAAGGGAGGAGATAACTTCTATTTTGACTATGGCCTTGTCTAAATAAGATCAGAGTTTGTGAATTCTAGAGGCTTCCATAGCCTTGGCAACTCATGACAAGAGCCTTGGGTGACTACTGACGTCATAAATAAGAATGTCAATTGTTAAATCAACAACAGGAGTCACTGTGCACTTATTCCCCATGTAGGATCTCAGTCCTTAACGTGTTGTACTATGTGAATTAACAGTATAACTAGTATTCAAATAGTACTTTATACTTTGTATTTCTGTGTGGGTGCAAATTACTGAAATCTTTACTTAGTTTATACTAAATTGATCTTCTGTATATAAAGATTTTTAAAAATGAATCTTGATGTGAATCGGATGCGAGAGGGAGCGGGAGATGGGTTGGTTGCGGGTGGGAGGGAGGTTATGGGGGGAAAAAGCCACTATAATTCAAAAGCTGCACTTTGAAAATTTATATTTATTAAATAAAAGTTAAAAAAAGGAAAAAAAATGAGTCCTCAGTTACTCTGAACAGCTAGTTCACAACAGTTTTACTCAAAAGGGACAATAATGAACTAGTCACAACCTACTTTCCTACAGCTTTCCTCCTTATATGCAAGTACTTTTGTGGGTCACAACAACATAAAAAGACAGCATTGGAAATTAGGGAAAAACAAATGAGAAAGGCATAATTACTGAAAAGAGCGAATTCAGTTTCAGAGAAAACATTTAACCAAACATGAAGTAGGAAGAAATATCAAATCCAGAAGAGTAGATGGGAGGTGACTAAAGAGGGATGAGGGCAGACAGTAGCCTTCAGAGGCCAGGGGCTGACTGAAGAGGACAGGTAGCAGGAGAAGGGCATTTCGACCTCTCCTACCAGTTAGACTATAACATTTTTAAAAATGTAACCTTATCTTACCTCGGAGCTGAATGCAGCAGTTTATGTAATTTATTCTTTAAATAGTTGTAGAGAAGCCAAATACAATAAATTATAGTAAAAAGTCTGCGCCTGGGGAAAGAGAAATGTCACTTTGGGCAGAAATATCTGTTACTTCCTAAATACTGAAGAAACATGGCATCATATGGTATATTTTATGATGTGATAAAGTGAATTGTTTCACAAGTGAGATCTGCCTTAAAAACATAATCCTTAGCTATCAAAAAGAGTGTACAAACAGGCACCATGCATGTATGGGACAGGTTAACAAATGAGTCTGTACTGGGAATTAAAGAGAAAGAAAAGGAAGTGCCCAAAACAAAGTGGTTAAGTGGAGGAGGAGGAGGAGGAAGGAGAGAAGGCATAGGAAGAGATGCTCAATTAATATTGTAAGCTGTGTTGATTCTCCTTCAGGACATGTAGTGTGTGGATCAAAGTACTCCCACATCAAATCTTCAATAATGTGGTTCTATTTTTTGCTCTGAAAAACATGGTTTATATTTTGCTACATAAGTTTATTTACTTTAAAACTGATCTGAAAATGAGCATGTGTTACTCTTTACATATACTACCTCTGGAAGGAGGCTTAATATGATAATTACTTGCTATTCAGGACTAGCAATAATTACTATAGTCAAACATAACCCAGGACAATCGTTTTTTTTTTAAGATTTTCTTTATTTATTTATTTGACAGGTAGAGCTACAGACAGTGAGAGAGAGAGAAACAAAGAAAGATCTTCCTTCCGTTGGTTCACTCCTCAAATGGCCGCAACGGCCAGAACTGCTCTGATCTGAAGCCAGGAGCTTCTTCCTGGTCTCCCATGCAGGGCCCAAGCACTTTGGCCAACTTCTACTGCCTTCCCAGGCCACGGCAGAGAGCTGGACTGGAAGAGGAGCAACCAGGACTAGAACCGGTACACACATGGGATGCCGGTGCTGCAGGTGGAGGATTAACCTACTGTGCTATGGTGCTGGCCCAACCCAGGACAATCTTAACCTTCTCACTGTTCTATGTGGCTCATTTGAAAAGTATGTTCATTGTTTAAAAAATAATTATAGGTTAAGTTGCCCCCTGCGACCTCTTCATCATGTACTGGAGTGCTGGTTTGAGTTTCAGCTACTCTGCTTTCAATCCAGCTTGCTGTTAATGCTCCCAGGAAAGCAGTGGATGATGGTCCAAGTACTTGGACCTCTATCACACAATGTAGGAGACCCTGATGAATTTCAAGGTTCCTGGCTTTTGCCTGGCTCAGCCCAGGCCATTGAAGCCATTTGGAGAGTAAAGAGTAAAACAATGAATGAAGATCTTTTTCTGTCTCTCCTTCTCTCTGCATCACTCTGCTTTTCAAATAAATAAATTAAATCTATAAAAGGTGGATATTCTAGGAGTATAAAATCATGGAGTAATAATGCTGAGAGGGAACAGTGAAAATCAAAGAACACAAATAGAAGCCTCTTGGTCCAGTATCCTCATCCCATCTACAGCACATTTTTCAGAGTAAAAACATGAAAAAATTTTTGCTCAATATGGGATGCCATTTGCCTAAACCATCAGCTGGTCCTTTTATTATCCAGAAATGGGTCCCTGAAGCTGTAAAGTTAACAGTTTCATTACATCTTAGCTATCCACTTAATTAAAATTGATATTAAATACTGTCTCTAGCAATAATCCTTAGATTGCACTATTGTTTTCACTTCTATTTCCAAAGAAAAGTTCATTTTTTCTTCTAATTGACTATAGTATAGATTTTTCCACTAATAAGAATTAGCTTATCACATTCTTGAAGGATTTTTTAAAATTAATCTTTCAAGTGAAACCTTAGCCAAGGTTGTCTGAAAATATTAAAAGGTAATACACTACATATACATGATATCTTCTTATTAAACTATGTGTTTTTTACATATCTATAACTACTGCATCAATATAGTGTCAAATCATGAGGTTAGGACAGTCATGACAGTGGTCTACAATTCACAAAGTCCCTAATGAATGGGACTCTTATTTTTAACCCATCATTCTTATGAAATAGAAGTCATTAACAATGTCAGTATACACATTTTTAACAAATATATATCTTTTCCTCTACTTTCCCAATAACTCAAAATTTTTCCATTTTTTAAATTAAAACAGATTAGTAATCTGTGAGATTTCTGTTATTAGATTTGTAAAATCAGCACAAATAATAGAGGAATAATTCTTTTCCAATCTAGGATACTTTATGAACTCCATTGACAATGCATGGAGAAATATTTTTCAATGTTTGTCTTTCATGTCATATAATTAGATTTTTATGGATTATCTAAATGCATATTTAAAAAGCGATTATTTTTAGGAATCCAGTTTTATGTCCCTTTTAATAAAGACACAGAATAAATAGAAATCACATATAGTAAAAGATGATCAAGCTAGAGCTACTTCCTTATAAAGTTACAAGCTTTATCATAATTAAATAAATTTTTTAAAAATAAAGAAGACAGAATGAGGTAGCAAACATAATAGAAAAGAGCACTGACTCAAACACTCCCAATTCAAATTTAAGATGGATCACCTTTTGTTACGTGTATACGATGATTTCTGGCAGTCCACCTGCGCAAGAGCCTCACCTACAACACAGGTGTAATGCTCACCTCTACCTCACAGGGTAATTATAACCCGCTTGAATACACGTGAGTTAATGTCCCATAAAAAGGCCTGGTCACACTGCCTGGCATCAATTGGCTTTCACTGAATACCTATCACTTCCCTTGTGCATAATTTATGGCAAAAATAAAAGTTACACTTTCCATACATAGCTTTTTCATCCACGTTTTTACAAAAGAGTGATTTTAAGTACAGATATGATGAGAGAAAGTGTGAAAACAAAATGCAAAAAACAAAAAAATGTATGTGGAGAGCACCTAATAAATGGCCTTCTTTGTTTCATGCTGAGAGACTTTGTGGTTACAAGACAAGCTTCTGGTGAACACGGGATCAAAATTAAAACTCTAGGCAGGCATTCAACTTTTAGGATTGTGTCCATTTTCCAATGACCATGGGAAACAAATGTTTTACAAGCTGCTTCTTGAAGATATTCCCATCGTATTTTTATGAAGTTCACTTTCAAAAGAGACCTATTCCTGCAATGCATCTGAGTAAATAAAAGTTCCACCAGGCTTCTTGCACTGTATTTTAGAAATTTCAGCAGGGTAATAAAATAATGTTTTTAACAGATTTTGCTGAGGTCAGGCCACAGCAATTTTGCAAAACCAAATGACAAATAAGAGGAACAGAGACTAAGCAAGTTTCAAAAATAAAGAACATCAATCTAAAATGACTTACAACCTTATTTTGAATAAAGTTAAACACAGAATAATGAGCAACAAGCATTTATTCTAATTATAGTTTTCTTACTGTGAATGTAAAGTTGGCACAACTGTACAAAACCTAATCAAAATCAGGTAACAGTTACCTCTGTGGTCTTGTTTGATGGTTCCAGCCCAGTCATATTTGCTACTATTAACTGATGTAAGAGTTGAACTTGAGCCACATTTAGGAAGAAGTCCAGATTTGTGGTTATATTCACTTCCAAGGAATGGCCACACACTAAAATCTCCTGAAGCGGGAGAAAAAAAAACTTTGAATATAGATAAAAAAAAAATGACAGCCTTCAGATGGTACTCTGTAATTCTTAATTATATGATTGTCACTTTGATGAACTCTCAGAATGTTAATAATAGCACAGCAACCAGACAAAATTTATTGGATTAATTCAATATATATTTATAAGGCCCTGATATGTTCCAGGCCTTGTACTAGTCACAGGGCAACTGATTAACAAGAATCATTCACCTTTCCATATCCATTTGGCTTTTTCTTACCTCAAAAACTATTTTTGTTTCAATATGCAAGCAATGATGTAATTCTCTGGCAAAACCTTTTCCTTAATTCAAATCAACAAATATTAATTGAGCATCTGCTAAGTACCAGGCACCTCAGTAGAGTTTTAGAGATATCACAAAGAGTAAGGGTGGACTTGAAGGGTAACAAGCCTTTGAGAAGGTTATCATCTGCTGGAGCAGAGAGATGCAGAGACAACCGAGGGCAGGCAATCACAATCACAAATGCTATGGTATGCATATTCTCCAAAGGATACACTTCAAATGATTTCTAAAAAAATAGAGTACTGAGGCCAAAGATAACTAAATGAATTAATTTCACTTTTTCTTCATCCTACTAAGATCTTGGCAGGATTAGGTAGATGTCCACTACAAAACTGGTGCTGTACTGCATAACTGAGTCACGTGAACATTTATCATTGGGGAAAAATACCATTCAGAGAAGGAAAACAAGAGAAAAGATAATCCAGAAGCTTTACTTAAGAAGCAGAAATCCTGCCTCTTGTCATGAAGTATACATGGACAATGTTCAAATATCTGGAAACTTTCAACAGGCCTTCCCATTATTAGTGTCATCTAAAGTAATGAATCTAGGGAGACTATGGCTAGTCCAAATACAGACTAGACAGCTTAGAGCAGCTGTTAATGAAGCTATCAAAAGAGCATGACTGAAATTCTCTTTTTTGGTTAGATAGCCTTTCCTTCAACAAGTTTCCTGTATTCACTCACTGTAGTTGAAATTCTTATTTTATTCCTCAAGTAATGATAAAAAGAAAACAAAGCACACCAATTCAGAATACTTTCTTTTTTTTTAAGTCACTGTAGCAATTCTCAAGGGGATGAAATCTGTACTAAAAATAGTTCTATTAGTATACACATCCTGTGAAAACTAGCAAACGACTAATCCTGTATTAATAGGCTAAATAGCATGAAAGCAACTGATAGAATCAGCAGATAATTCCATAAAACCATGAAAAATTTCCAGTTTTATTCCTCTTAATAATTTTTATCTCTTTTGTTCAATTTGATCCTTAAAACAATCTGGAAGGCAACTAGGTATATGAGGCAACTAAGGAATGCATACAGCAAGATATGAACAAAGACTTAAGTGAATGCTGAAGATGACAGTCCTTCGTATGAAGCTCAGAGTTCACCAAAACTAGATTTTCTGATCTTAAGCTTCATGCTTCTTTCACCTGGGAATAGGGAATTCTAGTAATGCCTTCCAGCTAGAAGATAATTTAATTAAGATGGGGATAGTATTTCTGTTAACAATGCATGTTATTAGTCTTGCTTTTGAATTTTAAGTTGACAAGCATTTGGGGACCCAAATAAAGGGTATTTTTAGGGAAAAAAGTTATAATACTTCAAAGTGATTGTATTTCCTTTCTTTCACTGAAATTTATTTTTCATCCGAATGTAATATTAATTCAAAGAGAACAGATTCAATGTAGTTCATGGAATATAACAATATTCCCTTCTACCACACCCTTCCCTCTCTCCCTCCCTTTCCTTACTCTCATTCTTTTTTCTCTGATTCTCTCCTTTCTTTCCCTTTTAGTTTTTGAGGGAACATATTTCTAATTAACATTATAGTCCAGGGCATAGTGCTCCACTAAATAGAGATCAACAGGCAAAGGGTAAAAAGATCCTAGTTAAATGGTAATATGCAAGGGTTATAAACAATAATCAAATGGAAAGATGACCATCACTTCACCCATATGAAGTAAATTTTAAAATAATCACAGGTCACTAAAACTATATAAGTATAACATTCTTAATCGCTGGTTTGACAACAACATAAAAACAGTTTGATAAAAATATATGTGCAGCAATACTGATAATACACGTTTATTTCTTTTCCATTTTAATTTAATATAAGGGAGAACATGTAGTCTTATCTGTGTCCGGCTTATTTCATTCAATACGATGTACTCCGGTTGCATTCATTTTGATGTAAATGGTAGAATGTCATCATTTTTTTTTTACAGCTGAATAATAATCCCTCATGTATATTCCACATTTTCTTTATCCATTCATCTAATGATGGACATGTTGGTTGATTCCCTATTTTGGTTATTGTGAGCAGCGCTATTATAAACATGGTGGTGCAAGTATCTCTTTTATATACTGTTTTCATGTCTTTTGGGTGCATACCCAGTAGTGAGGATTGCTGGATCACAAGGTAAGTCTATTTCTAGTTTTTTAAGAAATTGCCATACAGTTTTTCATAATGGCTGTACTGATTTACATCCCCATCAACAGTGTGTAAGTATTTCCCTTTCTCTACATCCTAGCCAGCATTCCTCTCTGAGTTTTGGTTAATAGCCATTCTGATGGGGTTGAGGTATTATCTGATTGTGGTTTTGATTTGCATTTCCCTAATGCCAGTGATGTTGAGCATTTTTTCATATAATTTTTGGCCTTTTGTACTTCTTTTGAGAACTGTCAATTGAGTTCCTTTGCCAGTTTCTTAACTGGACTGGTTGTCTTTTGTTGTTGAATTTTCTGAGTTGCTGATACATTGTAGATATTAGTCGTTTGTTGGATAGGTAGTTCACATTTTTCCCATTCTGTTGGATGTCTCTGTTCACTGTATTGATCAATTCCTTTGCTGAGCAGAAGCTCTGAGTTTGCTATAATCCCATCTGGTTAGTTTTACTTTTGCTGCAGGTCTTATCCAAGGAGTCAACACCCCACCAATGTCCTGGAGTGTTTTCACTGTATTTTCTCCCAGCAACTTCATAGTCTCAGGTCTTAAATTAGGGCTTTGATTCATTTTGAGTTTAATTTTGTATATGGTGAGAGGTATGGATCTAATTTCATTTATATATATATCTATATATAATCTCTCTATATATATCTCCAATTGTGCCAGCACCAATGTATGCATATTTCATTTTTATCACCCAAATGTACATAGGAAATAGAAGAAATTCTAAAACGTGATTCCAATGTGTGAATTTATATTTTCACAACAGTATTAGTATGAAAAAAAGAATATTTCGGGGCTTTCACATATTCTAAACCAACTGTGTTATTTCTGAGTAACTGTAAGGTGAAAGTAGATTTACTTAATCTTTATATACCTTTTGTGGATATAAAGAAGCCTGGCCTAACCCAATTCTTCATTTATAAACATCATATATATACAAAAATATTGTTTTTTAAAAATTCAGAGAAGGAATGTACAATGGAGTTACATCCTGCTAAATCTATCATAGCTGATAATTATGTAACACATTAAATCCACTGAACATCACAGCTTAGCAACATAATCCATGAAAATGGATTTTTTTCCGCTTCCTGACACCATAGTTTACTGAGAACTGTGACTTCCTCTGCTGCCCTGCATCTTGAAAGAATATTGTTCCTCGCATCACTAGCCAGCGAGAAGATCAAAATTTGAAGTACAGTTTTTGTTGAAAGGGTACTGCTTTTGTACCAACAAAAAGTCAAAAAATTATAAAATCTGGGGATGATGTTGTGGCACAGCAGGTTAAAGCTCTGTGTGAAATGTTGGCATCCATTTCAGGGCGCCAGTTCTAGTCCCAGCAGCTCTACCTCCAGTCCAGTTCCTTGCTAATGCACCTGGCAAAGCAGCCGAGGATGGCCTAAGTACAAGGGGCCCTGGTGCCATCGTGGGAAACCTAGATGGAGTTTTGGGTTCCTGGCCTCAGCCTGGCCCAGGCCTGGCTGTCGCAGGCAGTTGGTAAGTGAACCAGCAGTTCAAAGAGCTCTTTCCCTCTCTGTCACTCTGCCTTTCAAATAAAGAAAATAAACCTTAAAAAAAATTTTTTTGTAAAGTCCAACCATTGTAAATTGGGAATTATCTGTATTTAATCCATACATATTTCTCCATTCATTCATTTTTTTTCAAAAATTGCCTTGGGCCTGATGATGCGGCGTAGCAGGTTAAGCTTCCACCTTTGGGGCAGGCATACCATATGGGTGCCAGTTCAAGTCCTAACTGCTCCACTTCCAAGCCAGCAACCTGCTAATGTGCCTGGAAAGGCAGTGGAAGATGGCTCAAGTGCTTGGGCCCCTGCACCCACTTGGGAGACCCAGAAGAAACTCCTGGCTCCTGGCTTCAGATCGGCCTAGCTCTAGCCATTGCAGGCATTTGGGGAGTTAACCAGTGGATGGAAGACCTTTCTCTTTCTCTCTCTCTCTCTCACCCTGCCTTTCAAATAAATAAATAAATAATTTTTTTTTTTAAAGAGTTACACAGAGAGATAAGGAGAGGCAAAGAAAGAGAGAGAGAGGTCTTCCATCCACTGGTTCACTCCCCAACTGACCACAACGACTGGAGCTGTGCCGATCCGAAGCCAGGACCCAGGAGCTTCCTCCGGGCCTCCCATGTGGGTACAGGGGCCCAAGGACTTGGGCCATCCTCCACTGCTTTCCAGGCCATAGCAGAGAGCTGAATCAGAAGAGGAGCAGCCGGGACTAGAACCGGCGCCCATATGGGATGTCGGTTCTTCAGGCCAGGGCTTTAATCTGCTGAGCCACAGCATTGGCCCCCAATAAATAAATCTTTACAAAATGATTGCTTTTTAAGTTTTTTAAAAATTTATTTTCAAAGGCAGAGTGACAGAAAGAGCTACTGGTTCACTTCTCAAATGCCCAGAACAGCCAGCGATGAACCAGCCTGAATGCTGAACTCAATCTGGGTCTTGCACGTGTGTGGCAGGGACCTAATCACTTGAACTGTCATTTGCTACCACCCAAAGTGTGCATTAGGAGGAAGCAGGAATTGGGATTGAAGCTAGGACTTGAACCCAGACACACTGATATGACATGCAAGTATACCAAACAATGTTTTCACCACTGCAAAAAACACCCATCTAATACCAAATTTTTCCTAACTTTTCATAACTGCCTATAATTCTATGAAACATTTATAATGTATTTAGGATATATTTACATGCAGAAATTTTCTTTTGAGCTATGATGAATCACATTATTATTACATTTCTATTCTACACATGAAGGTAGATCATGGTGATCAGGATTGAAATCTTGATTCACTAACTAACATTGGTCAAATTACTTAATCTGGGGGCCAGCACCATGGCTCACTTGGTTAATCCTCTGCCTGTGGTGCTGGCATCCCATATGGGCACTGGGTTCTAGTCCCGGTTGCTTCTCTTCCAGTCCAGCTCTCTGCTGTGGCCCAGGAAGGCAGTGGAGGATGGCCCAAGTACTTGGGCCCCTGCACCCACATGGGAGACCAGGAAGAAGCACCTGGCTCCTGGCTTCAGATCGGCACAGTTCTGGCGTAGTGGTCATTTTGGGGATGAACCAACAGAAGGAAGACCTTTCTCTCTGTCTCTCTCTCTTACTGCCTATAACTCTACTTGATAAATTTTTTTAAAAAAATTAAAAAAAAATTACTTAATCTGTTTTGACCTCACTTTCTTCAGTTAGAAAATATACGGATTTGGGGCAGGTGTTTGGTCTAGTGGTTTAGACACCCCAGATGTCCATGGCGCCGGAGTGCCTAGGTTTGATTCCATTCCTGACTTGGGCTCCTGACTCCAGCTTCCTATTAATATGGAATACAGGAGACAATGGTAATGGCTAAAGTAGTTGAGTCCCTGCTACCAATTTGGGAAACCTGGATTGAGTTCCCAGATAATGACTTCAGCTCCCTGTCCAGGCAGGCACCTGAAGAATAAATCGCTGATGAGAGTTCTCTCTCTCTGTCTCACCAATAATTAAACAAACAAACAGACAAATAAATAAAATCTCTCTCACATGTGTGTATGTGTGTGTGTGTGTGTATGTGTGTGTGCAAAGACTAAATAGGGTCATCCATGTAGAACTCTACATTTGTAAAGACTAAATAAGGTCATTCATGCAGAACTCTACGTAATCTGTGGAAGACCATTTATCTGTCTCACTGTTATTGTCATTTCCATTAGAAAGATGCTGTAGAAGTTAGGAACACAGAGGTCAAAGCCAGTCTAGCAGGGTTCATACCTTTTCCTTCCACTTACTTTTTTTGAAAAATTTACAATCTGGTTAGCCCCTCTAGATCTCACTCTCATCCTGAAAATGGGGATAGTAGCTAACAGCATTATTCTAAAGATTAAATGAAATATTACATGGAAAGGAACAGCTGAGTAGTACTAGAAAGTGCTCAAGAAATATTAGCAATGACAGCAGTTCTTAAGGTTAATCAGCTGATTTGGTATCCTGTGGGCTGATACTGGAAAATCTCTAATATACAAAGAGAAGTTGTTCCATTATCTAGAATAAAACGCAATCTACAATATGTTCTTACCTCAGTATGCAAATTTTCAGGAGAAATTATTTTGGTGAAAGTGATGGCAGGTGCTCCAGTTATCCGGACAGAAAAATCTGTCAAAATGGGGGTAAGAATTGCTCTCCTTTCTTGATGTCGCCGTATGCTAAAAGATAAAGCATAAATTAACCATTTTATTTCATTTTTTTAAGATTTACTTACTTGAAAGGCAAAGCTGAGAAAGAGAATGAGATTATCTCCCATCCGCTGGTTCACTCTCCAAATGGCTGCAATAGCTGGGGCTGGGCCAGGCTGAAGCCAAGAGCTTCTTTCAGGGTCTCCCGCATGGGTGCAGGGGTCCAACTACTCAGGCCATCCTTACTGCTTTCCCCAGTGCATTAGCAGGGAACTGGATCAAAAGTGGAGCAGCTGGGACTCGAACCATTGTCCATATGGGATGCTGGTTTCACAGGCAGTGGCTTAACCTGCTATGCCGCAAAGCTGTCCCTTAGACATTTCATTTTGAAGGATAGTTTTCTTTAGGTTGTAGGTAAGTTAAAGAATTACACTATTATTTTGAGAGTGCCTATTTGTATATGCTATAGTTTCTTAAATGTAGTTCCATAAGATTTATGAAAGATAAAATTATTTTTTAAAAAAGATTTTTTTAAAAATTTAACTCAAAGATAAAATTACAAAGAGAGAGGGAGACACAGAGAGCAACAGGGACATTTTCCACCTGCTGTTTCATACCCCAAATGGCTACAATGGTTGGGGCTGGCCCAGGTCAATATCAAGAGCCCAGAACTCCATCTGAGTCTCCCACATGGGTGGCAGGTGCCCAAACATTTGGGACATTTTCTGTTGCTTTCCCAAGCATATTAGCAGGGAGCTGTATCTGAAGTGGAGCAGCTAGGACCTGAACTGGTACTATAATATGGGATGCTGGCATTGCAGGCAGCAGCTTAGCCTCTTGCGCCACAATGTCAGCCTCCCTTTTTTCCTGTTTTTAATTCTTTTTATTCTTGCAAATAGTTTCTTACCTCTTTTGTTACTACCAAAAACCTTATGAGTTTTGTAAGAATTTTTCAGTTTCTATTTTTAATATTTGTGACCTTCCATTTAACAAAAGCCATTGTTTCACGTTTCTGAGCATACCTTGTAAATTAAGTTCTAAGAACCATCTGAGTTCATGGATTATCACTACCTTTAGAGTCAAATGGCTCTGAGGTCTGACACTGATTGCTTCCTCAAAACAACGTTGTAGGTGATGGAAAGACCAGCATTGGTTCCATATTACCTAAGGAAATGAAGTTCAGGGACTGGCTAAGACCATCCAATGGAAACACAATTTTCAGAATTCTACCTGGAGAATAAGGTGATACCAGAATGCCTTTTGGCTTATTGTAATTCTTCTTTGGGCATTATTTTCTTTCACAAATTATGTAATCATTCAAAATGACTTGATATTCAAAATGCTAATAATTTCAAAAAAAGGACTGTACACATGGTAGAAGATCAAATTGGAAAACACAACTGAGAAACCAAAGCTTTTGCTGATAACAGATCTTCAAGTCTACCATCAATATTCTTAGTTTTATTTTATGAAAATATATTTTTATTAGAAGCAATACCTCAAATTTTCCTTCAAACTATTAATTTAATATTCCTTATAAATATGCCCTTATTATTCCCTTCTGTAACAAAATGATAAAGTTGAAATCAGAGAATTGGCTCAAGTTACCTCATGAAAAAGCCTAGATAAAACTCAGTCCTTCTACATCCTTTTTGATCAGCATAGTCTAGAGACTACTAACCTTTTTTGTTAAACTTGAAATGGGCAGAGCTTTATATGCTGTCTGCCAAAAAAGCAAATTGGATCATCTGTTTCTGTGATACATAAGTATTGGATTTCAAGAAAGTCAATTTTAAAGAATTAAGAGATCGGGTGAGGAGAGAGTAACAGGAAGAAGTGTTAAAATCTGTGAATACAGAGGAAGGTTTGCAATCCAGAGAGACACCATAATTATAGTCTAATAGCTCAAATTCCATAAAAATGACCAATGTGAGAAATATGTAACATTTGATGTGTTTTCCTAGGGAGTGCTAAAATATATGATGTGTTAAAACCACCTTAAAATGGAAAAGACAACAGGAAATCAAATAAGAACAAACAGCAACTAAAAGCACTGATGTAAAAGAAGTACTCGTCCATATTAACATTTTTTCTCATGATGTGGTGGATTAAATCAGTGGCACAAAGTATCAAAGACCTGGCCTTAGAATAAAATGGAAATTTAAATAAGTCAATAGTTGCATAAAACTATAAATTTTCTGATATACAGTCCCAACTTCCCTTTTGTGATATTACTGGTAAGTATTTCAGGTAATGATGAACATTTTCAAAAAACTAAATTTTTTGGAACCAGCACTGTGGTGCAGTGGAGTAAAGCCCCAGCTAGCAGCGCCTGCATCCTATATGGGCGCTGGTTCAAGTCCTGGCTGCTCCTCTTCTGATCCAGCTCCCTGCTGTGGCCTGGAAAGGCAGTGGAAGATGGCCTAAGTCCTTGGGCCGCTGTACCCCTGTGGGAGATCTGGAGGAAACTTCTGACTCCTAGCTTTGGATCAGTTCAGCTCTGGCCATTGAGGTCATTTGGGGAGTGAACCAGCAAAATGGAAGACCTCTCTCTCTGGTTCTACCTCTCTCTGTTACTCTTTCAAAGAAATAAAATAATTCTTGAAAAAAAAAACTTAAAATTTTTTTTGAAGATTTCCTTCCTTCCTTCCTTCCTTCCTTCCTTCCTTCCTTCCTTCCTTCCTTCCCTCCCTCCCTCCCTCCCTCCCTTTCCCTTCTTTCCTTCCTCCCTCCCTCCCTCCTTCTCTCTCTCTCTTTCTTCTTCTTTTTTTTGACAGGCAGAGTGGACAGTGAGAGAGAGAGAGACAGAGAGAAAGGTCTTCCTTTGCCGTTGGTTCACCCTCCAATGGCCACTGCGGCCTGCGCACCACGCTGATCCGAAGGCAGGAGCCAGGTGCTTCTCCTGGTCTCCCATGGGGTGCAGTGCCCAAGCACTTGGGCCATCCTCCACTGCACTCCCTGGCCACAGCAGAGAGCTGGCCTGGAAGAGGGGCAACCAGGACAGAATCCAGCGCCCCGACCAGGACTAGAACCCGGTGTGCCGGCGCCGCAGGCAGAGGATTCCTAGTGAGCCGTGGTGCTGGCCTGATTCAATTATTTTCAAGAATTAATTCAAATGAAAGAAAAGAAACACTGAAAAACTAAAACTAAGCATGAAATTCTGCTATCACAGCACTTTCCACACTGTAATGGTTAACCAGTCTGTTTCACTGATTGAATGTTAACTCTTTTAAGGATAGGAACCTATTAAAAGTTACTCTATTTATTTAGTGTAAATGACCTACAATATCATAGCTTGGACATTCAAGAGTTTGTAACTGTCTGACATGGCCGACAAGACCATGCACATGGAGAGTAGTCTCTTCAATAAAGGATGCTAGGATAACTGGATATCCCCACGTACAAGAATGAAGTGGAGGGCTGGCGCCACGGCTCAATAGGCTAATCCTCCGCCTTGTGGAGCTGGCACACCGGGTTCTAGTCCCGGTCGGGGCGCCGGATTCTGTCCCGGTTGCCCCTCTTCCAGGCCAGCTCTCTGCTGTGGCCCGGGAGTGCAGTGGAGGATGGCCCAAGTGCTTGGGCCCTGCACCCACATGGGAGACCAGGAGAAGCACCTGGCTCCTGCCTTTGGATCAGCGTGGTGCGCCGGCTGCAGTGCACCGGCTGTGGCGGCCATTGGAGGGTGAACCAATGGCAAAGGAAGACCTTTCTCTCTGTCTCTCTCTCTCTCACTGTCCACTCTGCCTGTCAAAAACAAAACAAAACAAAAAAAGAATGAAGTGGAACTTTTACCTCATATCATTTAAAAAAAAACCCTCTGTAAAACACAACAACAAACCAACAAAAAGTCTTACATTTACTTAAAATGTAAGAGCTACAGTTATAAAACTTTTCAAATAAGCCATAGGGATCAATCTTTATGGAGTCTCAGAAATCACACTAAAAGCAAGGGCAACAAAATAAATACCAATTAGACTTCATCAAAATTAAAAACATGTACATCAATACCCATTATATACATAATAAAGAGATTATTTCTAAATTATATAATCTAAAAAAGATACAGGATCCAGATTAAAGAATTCTTATGGGGCTAGCATTGTGGCATGGCGGGTTAAGCTGCCACTTGCGATGCCAGCATCACATATGGGTGCTGGTTGAAGTCGCGACTGCTCCACTTTCAATCCAGCTCCATGTTAATGACTTGGGAAAAGCAGTGGAAGATGACCCAAGTGGACCTTGCCACCCATGTGGGAGACTCTTAAAACTCATCATCAAAAAAAGTTAAAATGGCTCAAAGAATTGACTAATACTTTCTTTTACACACCGAAGAGCTGCTCAGTCATCAATCATAATAGAAATATAAACCAAAACCAGAAGGAGGTAGCACCTCATGTCTAGAATGATGGTATTCTTCATCTTTTTTTTTTAAAGGTGAAATTATAACCTTTCAGTACTGCTAGTAGGTATAAAAATGGTTTAATCACTGCAGAAAACAGTGCAGCAGTTTTTAAAAAGACTGAGTATAAAATTACCACATGACCTTTTAATTCTTCTAGGTGAATACTCAAGACACTTGAAAACAGGTATTCAAGCTGGCATTTGTACACCGATGTCCAAAGCAACATTATTTGCAACAGCCTAGAGATGGAAACAGTGCAACTATCCAAAAACGGATAGATGGATAAACAAATTGTGATCCAAGTTGAGCATGTATAACTCAAAAATCCAAAATCTGAAATTCTAAAGTTAGCACTGGTCAACTAGAAAGCCTACGAAAATATCTAAAATTTAAGAAGATCTGAAATCTGAACTGCTTTTGGCCCCAAGCACTTTGGGTAAGGGATATTCAACCTTTATATACATCAGTGGAACATTATTTGACAATACAAAAAAAACAAATAAGGATTGACACATGAACCTATAAAAATTAATCTAAACCAAAGAAGCCATATATATAAGTAAACATGAATGATTCTATTTACATGAAATAGCCATGGGGTACAGCTACAGAGTCAGAATGCAGATTG